AGGAATAGGGAATGTGAATTAGAGAAGGTGTGAGGATAAATATTTTCCTCCTTTTGAGTTATAGCCATGTGGTAAGTTTTCCATTTATATTCTGGTATATTATGCACAGTATGCAATTTTGAACCAAAATTTGAGGCTACCCAAAATGTCTCTAATGATGCAGAAAGATGATCCAAAATTTATCAAAGTTAAATACCTATAAATGTTCCATTAAAGTTCTGCATATGATAATCATAGCGAGAGGTTAAAGCAAAAGGAATAAATATTGAGGATTGAATTGTTTTACTGTTTGACACTGCGAAGAATGTACTAACATTATGAACAAAATTTAATTTAGAAAGCCATTATACAATAATAAATATGTGTATTGTTGTATATATATAATGTTGCTGCTGCATATCAACTTATAGTATTTTAAGATGATACTAAAAATACTTTATTTGTTTAAATAGACAAATTAAGAATTTTAGGCTATTTTGATGATTGTTACATGAGGTTCATCCTTAGGCTTATTTAAGCAAGGATCTCATAGTTGTCTTTTTAATCCTTGTTCAATCAAAAAAATAGAATAAATGTAAATATTATATCCTAGAGAAAGTTGGTAATTTTTTAGACCTCATGTTTCCTAATAAAACGATAGTATTTTACAGGCAGGCTCTTACATGCCACAGAGGAGAACATACTGAAATAAGAGAATGCACAGAAAAGAGAACACATGCTTTTTCAAGATGTCTACATTTAGTAGATTTGAAACCTCTTTCTTTTTAAATGTATGCTTTTTTATTTCAAATCAAGAGATTTAATTAAAGAATCACTTGTCAACAGGCATCTGTGCATCTCATCACATGCAAATTTTAGAGACTAATATTGCTGAGCATAATTGGCTTAAGGAAATATAGTTTGGGTTTTGCTAATAGAAATAAAGACTAAAGATATTTCAATATGTCATAGAATATATTTCAGAGTGGGCTTAGAATCTATTTTAAATGGCCATACCAATAGAATATTCAGTTGCATCATCACTAACAGTAGGCTTAAGTTTGAATTTGGCAGTAGAGCTGGGATCTGCATATGAGTGAGCTTCTTTCTTTCCATTTTCAATACTTGCTTTATCAACATTAGGAAATAAACTCTTCCATATCCAACTGTTGATAATGCATAAGTAAGAAATTTTCTTAGCAAATCAGTCAAGGATCCTGAAAAAAAAAAATCATTATTCTTGGCTTTCTGCAAAGGATAAAAAGCAAGCTACATTCAGATGAAAAATGAAATCTGTATCTCTCACTTTGGCTCATTTGCTTATTGTTTTAATGCTTATTGCCTTTTTTTTAAGGCCGAGTCTCACTCTGTTGCCAGGCTGGAGTGCAGTGGCATGATCATGGCTCACTGTAACCTCTACCTCCCACGTTCTAGGAATTCTCCTGCCTCAGCTCCTCAGTAGCTGGGACTACAGCGCACAGCACCACACCAGCTAATTTTTTGTATTTTAGTAGAGACCGGGTTTCACTATGTTACCCAGGCTGGTCTCAAACTCCTGAGCTAAGGCAATTCACCCACCTTGGCCTTTCAAAATGCTAGGATTTCAGGTGTGAACCACCATGCCTGGCAGCTTATTGCCTTTTTGTCAGTTATTTAGTTATGGAAAAAGTATCTATTGCTGTCATTAAATATTCTTTAAAATTTTGTTAAGGGTGAATTGTTAAGTACATCCCACAGGAACTATGGCAGTGGATACCTGACGAAATATCTAATAACCCTAATTTATCTAATACTATGTCATAAAACTCAATATGCAGTCATATCCTTTTGTAATGACTTAAACTTTAAGCAGTAAGCTTGAATCTGAGATCGAAGAATTTTTTGAGGTTTCTTTTAGAGGTAAAAGAAACCATAGAGGTCACTAGCCAGACCTTTCATTTTCTGTATGGAGAAACCAACCCAATGCAGCCAAGCTAACCAACAACCTGTCTATGATTTTGGCTAATCAACTGCAGAGCCAAGACGAGAACTTTCTTTTCTTTTTACCAATGGAAAATATATTCTCATAATACTTTATTTATAGGAATTCTAAGAACCTGAAATTATAGACTAGTATAATATACCAGAAATTCCAAAGGCCTGTTAAAAAACATCATACTTTTATTCTAAAACTGTCCTAAAATAAATATGCTAGCAAAAATATGAATATGAATTAATTACTTGGTTTTGTTACTGATATATTCATTTACTTTTGTATTCTGAGAAATGCCCTCTACAACTTATTTACTTGGTTCAGGTCATTTTTCTCTAAGTGTTGGAGAAATTTCGATGTGTTGACTTTTATTCACTGAGGTCAACATGAGTTTTCTCATTTTAACACATCTTCATTACTTAGATTGTAAGTAATGAATGTATCACACCTTCATTACTTAGATTATAATATTTAAAAATCATTATTGGGATATTTAAGTAATTGAAGTTTTAAATAATTTCGGTTGCAAGGATATAGAGCTTCTGCTACTCAGTGTCTTCCACAAACCAACAGTATTAGAATCACGGAGGAATTTATTAGAAATGCAGCCTTAGCTTCCCCTTCCCAAGACCTAGACCTGCTGAATCACAATCTGTATTAACAAGGTCCTAGGTGATTCCTACGCACATTAAGTTTGGAGAAGCACTTATTTAAAGAGAAATCTCAGAGCCTCATTCTGTTTGTTGCTTTTGTCTTTTTCTTTCTTGCCTTTCTTTCTTCACCCTCCCCTCATAGGAAATGAACATCAAAACATCAGGGTTTGCTTTAATAGTCAAAAAGAAGGACAGTTCAAAAGGATGTAGAAGGGAGGAGAGGAAATAATACATCTCTTCATTCTAGGATGGCATTCGGGACTAACAGCCTAATGACATGTCTTTGGAATGTTTTTTAGCATCTAGCAGATCCACATTCTTCACTCTCTTCTGGGTTTTTCCCGAGTCATTACTCACATGGGTCCCTGCTCTCAAAACCAAGGTTGTGTAACTGTACTGAGAAATGGAGTATAGGAGTTAATTATATAGTGTTGAATTTACAGAGGGTGAGCCACAAAGTAGCAAAAGCAAGGACTGCCTGTTCCAGTTAAAGACAGAAAGCAGAAAGGGGTTTATTGTTGGTTATGTAGCCTGGGAACCACTATGAATAACAGGCATTGTGAGGCAGAGGAGAAATTGTTGTAATTAAAAGCAAAGTAAAATACCTGAGGCCAGGCCTCCATATCCAAAGATGACTGTAGTGAGTAATGGATTGAAAGATGGACTAGTGCAGTGATTAAGAGCTTAGACTCTGAGCTACAATTTTTCTTGGTTCGAATCCCAGCTCATCTTATTTCTTGGCTCTATGGCTGTGGGTAAGTTATTTAACCTTTCTAACCTCTTCATCTGAAAACAGGGCAAACAGTAGTACCTCTTCATAGGGTTGTTGTAAATAGTAAGTGAAAAAAAAAAAATCTGTGTAAAAAGTAGTTAGCACAGTGTCTGAAACATAGTAAGTACTCAATAAGTCTTTGAGTGTTTGTATTTATTTACTTATCATCTTAATTATTTAATACTTATCTGAATCAGCTTCCCTTTTACCTAATCACATAATTTTATGTGGTTTTTCTGGGTTTCACCTGTGGTCTGTGGCCATAGCAAAGAGCTAGCGACAGCTTTAACTTAAGAAAATTATGTTGGACTGAACAGTAAACATTTGTTGATCACCTCTGGGCTAATGAGTACTGTGCAAGATGTGATGGTGATGGTGGTGGTTGGGAGTGTGATGAAAGAAAATGAGAAATATTTTACAATCCCTTGAGGTGTTTAAATTATGCATTGAAAGAGATGAGATATACACTTACATGAGGGAAAAACCTGATAGATGATTCCCAAGCAGCATATTTGTATGTTGAAAATTATATTGTATAACGTAAAATGTGTGGAGTAATTGAAAGACAACTATCAATATTGGTCATTAACAACTTTGATTTTCTTTAAGTGTCTTCTACAAAGAAAAAACTTTCAGAACTATTGGGTAGAACTGTAGTTTGATACTACTAAAGATTGTCTGAAATCTGCTTAAGATTTAACCTCTCTTTTTGAAGGATAGACACTTAAATATTGATTGAAAAGCCAACTAAACACTAGAGGGCAGAATGTGAGAATGTAATGTATTAATACCATTAAAATAGCTGCCAGCCTCCACACTCATTGTAGTTATGTGAACACAAGTGCAGCCAGGAGGGCGAAGGTTCTGAAGGGTGCTAACCTGATAGTGTTTTGTAATTTTATCATTCTACTTTATGTTGACCACTTCTCAGTACTTTTAAAAGAATTCAGGCTTTAGAAAAATGGGAAAGTAATGAAAGTTGATAAGTGTGCAACAAAAACATTATAAATTAGATGTTAAGCTGAAACATTACAAAACTTGAGATGATTTCCATCCTGAGAAACTTAGGAAGAAAATGTGGCTTTGAAAAAATAGTTTAGGAATAGTTATATAGAAAACAATACTAGTTCCTTGTTCTGTAACCCTGTGGTCCCCACTGCCCTCTGCCTGTTCAGAGCAGAGTTTTAGAAAGATGTTCTGTCTTCTGGCCTAAGAGGAGAAGGAAGGGAATGGATTTGGGCTGGGGAAAGATAAAAATAGGTAAAGTGGGTGGCAGGAAGGCAGTTGGCGACAATTAATATTTTAGGAAAATGAAAAGACCTTCAACTAGGGCTGCAATAGCAATAGGGTGACAGCTAAGAGAAGGTTTTCCAAATTTGGTTATAGAATTGTCTGCCATGGACATCTTTTAAAGGGAGAAAAAGTCACTGTTAAAAGCAACCAAGGCTATCTCCATTTCTAGAAACAAGTGACAATGAACATGTTTCATTAGATGGTTAAACAGTGTTTGAGGTCACTTGGGACTGAGCTAATTTCTTTCAGCCTGAAGTCCCCTTCAGATGTTTGATTCATCATCTCTGATCTTTCCTCTAACCTGACTTTCTTTCCCTTTGCTTTTCTGCAGTGCTCATGTACCTCAAGTCAGCAATGTGTCTACAACCGGAGAGTAAGTTATTTGGGTTTTGGGTTTTTTTTTTTTTTTAATGCCCTCTTCCACTTATTAAGCAGAAAAGAAAAAAAGCAACTCTAATGGTGTACAGTATTGGAAGATTAAGATAATAAACAGCCATTGACTTTTAAACTATATGGAGGAGAGGGCTCCTTAAATATTCTTATGTGTGTATTCCTACGGACAGCTCTAACATTGGAAAATATGAGCTTTTTATTTACTTTGTTAAAATAATGCCAGTATCAATTAATATTTACAAGTAATCTCATGTGCTTTGGGAGGCATCTTGCACTGGAGAATGTAATTAAAGGTTAAAGCATTAACTATGTCTTTACTCCTACTCAGTTTATTTGGCTGAGTCTACATTGAGTGCAACACGCCAGGTGCCTGTTAGGTGTGTAATGTCAAAGAAGCCATGGGCCCTGTCCTCAGGGATATGACAGTCTACTAGAGATGCAGAAAAGAAAACGAATTAGTGATGGCAACAAGTCCCTGGTCCAGAGGGCAGTGGCAGAGCTCTCTTAATTATGTCATCACATGCCTTTTCCTCCAAAGTCTTCCGCTGACACTTAGGCTAAATCTAAACTCCAGTTATCAGTCCTTGCCGATGCCTCTGACCATATTGGTCATTACACTTCAGCCACATGACCTGCTGTTCCCAGGGAGGGCCAACCTTACTGCTGCCTCAGAGCCTTTGTGTTCGCTGCTCCTCAGTCTAGCCAGAGCTTTCATACCATTCACTCCTTGTTCAAATGTCATTTTACCCAGGATTCTATTCTTGACTACCCGTATTCACTTGCCAGCACTTTACTCAGTGTTTTAGAGAACTTATTACTCTTGGAAATTACATTATTTTTTTTATTATCTATCTTGCCCTACAGGAATGTAAGCTCTGTAAACATAAGGAGCTCGTCTGTCATGTTCTTTGCTATCCTCCCTACTGCCTAGAAAAGTGCATATATTAGACACTAAATAAATATTCATCAAATGACAGAACAGCTCCTTGCCGACATATGTTTCCATCACACCTACCTGTTCTCCTTACTTGCTGGGATGTGAGGAAGCCTTTTTGGAGCATCTTCTCTTGGCAAAGATGAGATGTAGGAGGTGGGGAAGATGTGGGGTGATAGGGAGAAGAGGTAAGAGTTAGAAGAAGCACTAGTTGGAATGAATTTGGATCTAACAGGATGGATTTCCATTCTTTTAATTCCTTGTTGGGAGAGAAAACAAACAGGGAAGGACTGATTTCCTTTATTTAGCTTTGTCCATTTCAAAGATATTCAAGAAGTGCACCAAGGCTGACATGTTCTTGCCTTTTTTCTTTCCTAATAACCTTTCTTTTGTGTCTTCTATATCTTGGAAAAAGTGCAGGGTTGTTCTGTTTAGGTATTTCAGTTTCATCTAGATGTTTAGTATGTTGTAAGAAGCCAAGTCTGATTTAATGCATTTTATGGCTTCCTCATGAATATGTTATTTATATATTATGTATATCTCTTATGTGTATATTAATTTACTCACAATCCTCTGTACTGTGATTAAATAGTCTTGAATCATTTGAGACATGGAGTTCTATATATAAAAGTTCTAATGCCTAAGTTAATTGGACTATATTTCCTCATTGTCTTAATATATTTTTAATAAAATTTGAATGCGATAACTATGAGTTGATTATAAAACTGCATTTGAAAAATCTGAAATTAGTTGTCAAACCCATTTTATTTAAGTAAATGCTACTTCTCAGCCTGAGAATTTAGAATATATATATATATATATTATATACATATATATATATTTTATATATATATATATTATATAATATATATATATATATATATATACACACATGTGGTTCTTTTTCAAGCAGAGAAAAACATGATTTGAAGCGTCTAAGCTAAGAGCTTTCCATACCAGCTTATTTGGAAGTAATGTGGTACTAAAAGAAGGTTTACACAGCTTGAAAGATTCTACAGCTTTAACAATGATTCCATTTATAGTTTACCACGCATTCTTTTCAGCCCTTGTGCTTATCTGTTTTCCTCAGGTTGAACAAAGTAAATCTGTCCTTCCAACTTTAATATGTTTTGAGGTGTTTGTATGAATACAACTTCAATTATAAACATCACAAATTAATTGAATAGCGGTTAGGAAAGATTATGCCATGTTGTTATGAGTTCTAATTGTTCTGGTGAGTTTTCTCCCCAATAGCATTATTTTCATATAATTTTGTCTTGGATTCTAAATAGGCATCATAAAATTATTTGTGCAGGTTTGCTTTGCAGATCACTCTCTCTTCCTCTGTAGAGTTGGTATGAAATTGCCTCTGTAAGAATAGGTCTATTATTATTCTGTGAGGGCAAGAAAAAAATCTTTTCTTTCTTCCTTATATTAATTGACTCCTGTTTCCTGAATGCCTCATAATTGTTGCTAGACTTGCCATGAGCAGTTCAGCAATACTAAATTCACAAAAATGAGAAACATTTATTAAACTGGCAGAATTGTTTTAGTTTTATTTTTAACACATAATGCAGATATTTTTTAGATTAATACTTCATCATCTCTTTTTGCTCGTGAAGTTTTAAAGGCCTTCTGTTGGAAATACAGACATTTCCATAACTGTAGGCACGTATTTTTTAAGGTGATCACTGATGAACTTGACTGCTTGAATGACTCTGCATTCTTTTTGCCAGACTCTTAGAAAGAACCATCCGATCAGCTGTAGAACAACATCTTTTTGATGTTAATAACTCTGGAGGTCAGAGTTCAGAGGACTCAGAATCGGGAACACCACCAGCATCTTCTGCCACATCCGCCAGACAGCGACGCCGCCAGTCCAAGGAGCAGGATGAAGTTCGACGTGGGAGAGACAAGTGAGTTGGCACTGGTTCTTCCTCTTACTTGGATTTTCTCTTCTTTTTTAAAATATACACCTGAATTAGTCATGTGTTGTAGTCATACCTCCTGGTTTTCTCCCATTTCAATATTTAGGTTAAAACTTGAAGAGTTTTCAGTTTAACCATTCTAAATGTAGCTGCATTTGAAAATTCATAGGTGATTGCATAAATATTTGCGTTTCATCCAGAATTTGGTATGTTGTTGGAAGCCACCTCTGATTGAATACACTCTATGGCTTCCTTATAAATATCTTATTTAGAGGGATTCTAAACCATGGGCAGAGAAAGTAATCATATGCTTGTCCAGAGGTTTTTTTTTCTTGCTAGACAACATTAGGTTGGCTATTAGACTTGTTTATGAAGCAGCAGATTTCTCCATTACATTTATGTGATTAAATAGTCAGATGTCACTATAATACTCTGGTATTTGATCATGTTTTAGTATAATAAAGGTTGGGCTTAAATCTACTCATAAAATGAACAGCTTAAGTTCTTTATTATAATCACTAATTTTAAGGCATTCCCATAATGTGAATTTTAAGAACAGTATTACATAGAGCTTTCTTCTCCATTAAAAAAGATTTAGTAAAATATAGATGAACAACTACCATTCATATTATTTAATAATCATGATTTAAATTGTCAAGGAAAATAAATTTATATAGATAATAGAGTATACGAGTATTGATATATTTTCCCTGAAAGTTCCAAGGTTATTTTTATTGACTGTAGCTGTTAGCCTTTCTGTGGTTGTTGTTTTGAACTCCTTATTAAATGTCGAAAACTAACCCGAACCAGACTTTAGTCCCCCTCATTCTTTTTCTTTCTTTTCTTTTTAAATTTTTATTAATATGTAATATTTGTAAACCTCTCATTCTCATTCTTTTTCGCCTAGACTCATAATCTACATTAAACCCTTTGTGGAAAAAGGAAAAAACTTTTGTTTTGCTTAAAGAAAAACACAAAAGATAAACAGTATAAATAAGTCTCATGCTGTACCTCACTGAGTTGTTTAAGGGCTATATTAGCAAATGTAATTTTAGAAATAAAGCAGTGTCAATAATATAGCCCATTAATTTAAAATAAATTTTCTTGGCGCTGGTGGATAGAATAGTTCTAATATTCCATTTAGAAAATAGGAAAATTATAATATAGGAGATATTTACATTTCTTCTCCTATGGCATTGCATGAGATATTTACATTTAAAATTAGCTACTGGCATGTTTATAAAAAGTGTTAAGCAGTATAATTAGTTTGTATACTACCTCTAATGTGTTATACAGAAAGCACAAATTATTCATTTAACACTGTTCTTGTCTTCTGCCTCATTTTTTGCTGAGGAGTATGTAGCCACACTTTGCATTTTAAAAATATGCTCAGTGTGTCACGATATCCTGCTTTCCACCCTCTTTGTTTGGACAGAGGGCTAGCAGGTGGGAGTGGGAAGTCGTGGGGAGCAGGACAGAGAGAACAGAGAGTGATGGTGCTGATGGTGGATGCTTGGCATCGTGAATCTTGGAGTACAAACAATATCTAACCTGACGCACTATGATACAATCATGTCTTCGCAGTCCTTCAACTTCCAGCCCACACTAAATGGCTTCTCTTAGCTCTCCAGGTCTTTGGAAGAGTGAGACCCTTATCTCTCAAAGCCCCAGATCCACTAATTTTGTCTGACCCAGCTTTGACCACAGGCCAGTAGTTATTTCCTATAACCCTCTCCCCTCATCTTCATGCTGGGTGCTGTCATCCTTTCACTCACCTCCCTTGATCCAGCGTTCTCATTCCACTTGTTTCCTCCCAGGTCTACTCCTTTCCTTTTGCTCATCTACTTGCTTAAAATACTTTTCCAGCAGGCTGATTCTTTCAGCATCTCCATTTTGGTCTCAAATTTCTCTTTTACTTTCCTTTTAATGAGCCACCATAAAGATCCTCTCCAAAATCTCCAGGAGAGTCATGAACATGTCATAAATTATAAGAAGGTGAAGAATCATAAATATAGCCTACAGTCAATGGATTTGTCACAGTATATGCTTATATACAATTGATTCATTTAAGATTTGTCACAAGGCTTTACTCAAAAAATAAAATTAAGCTAGGCTGTAATATTCTATTCAAAACTATAAGCATTATGAAACGGTTAAAAAGTATTTAGAAACATAGAAATCTATATTATTATCTATTATTTTGCCTCTAGTAACTTAGAGATGCAACCAATTAAAAATTGTTCTTGTAGAAGCCAGTGATGACTATATTTCAAGATGAGTAAAAGAGTCAGTAAAGTCATACTAAAGTCATTATGACCAATTTTTGAAATAGCAGTAGCAAAGATAGACAAAGACTACAAATACTTCATTCATAGGTACAAATGATTTGTTATTTGTCTGAATTCATAAGGAAATATAATTAGACCCATATTACTGTTTGCTACAATAAAAACATAAAAGTTTAAACATAAAATCTTCATTATGTAAAAAGATTCAACTAAATTCATTTACTAAAAAAATCTGCCATCTGCCAAGCTTACAGAAATGTGAAATTTTGGTCATGGGTATATGGAAGTTTGTTGTGATAGTTTCTCTACTTCTGTATATATTTGAAAAATTTTATAATAAATATTTTTTAAAAGCAAAGCATCATTTAAGTGAAAATGGTTTTCAATGTTTGAAAAACCCGATGAATTGAAAAATTGATTCAAATGTGTCTTTATTATATAAAGACTATATTAAAATTCTACTGCAAAGTGAAAGAAAAGCAGGCTATATTCGGGGAATAATAAATAGCTCAGTATTGCCAGGATATTAACTAGGTATGCTGGGGTGAGGAGAAAATCCTGAAAAAATATGGACATAATCTAGATAATGAAAGTGAGAGGTCCAGAAATCTAAGTTCATTCAAATCGAAGTTATGTCAAATATGCAAATAATCTGACAGATTATTGCAGGAAGGAATTGAGTAAACCTGCTCCATCTAAGATTAGATTTAAAGAAATACAGTCATGTGTTTTGTACAGAGCTGTATCTAAGTAGAGTGCCTCCAGAGCCTTCAACAGTGATAATTGAGCACCCAGTACTATAAGGTGCTACAGTGATGAAGAACAGATATTGCACCCAGCCTCATGGATCTAGAGTGAAATTGAAATTAAAGTTCAACAAAATGTAGTAGAAGAGACACATGGATGCACATAAAAGCAAGGACTTTCCTTTGGGGAGTACAGGATTTGCACATGAGTACAAGAGCATGGTCAGATTTTCATGTATCTATTTTGACAGGATTTATTCTAGTCATTCATTCAGTATTCAAAAGATCATAAACTTTGCTTTCTTGTTTTTAAAAATAGTTTTTAGCTGTTGTCTTTAGTCTACTTGGGTTGCCATAATAAAACACAACAGAAATTTATCTTCTGACAATTCTAGAAACTAGAAGTTCAAGGTCAAGGTATCAGTAGTGTCAGTTTCTGGTGAGGCTTCTCACATTGGCATGCAGATGGCCACCTTGTCGCTGTGTCCACACATGCCCCTTCCTCTGTGTACACTCTCCTGATGTCTCTCCCTCTTCTTACAAGGACATTATTGGATTAGGGTCCTACCCTTATGACTCTTTTAACATTTTTTACCTCCTTAAAGGCCCTGTCTCTGAATACGGTCACATTGGGGATTAGGATTTCAAAATGTGAATTTTGAGTGTATATAAGTAGTCCATAATAGCTTTCAAACATAAAAGGTCCTCCATTTTAAAGTTATAATTGGGGCCAGGAACGGTGGCTCACCCCTGTAATCCCGGAACTTTGGGAGGCCAAGGCAGGTGGATCACTTGAGGCCAGGAGTTTGACAACAGCCTGGCCAATATGATGAAACTCGGTCTCTACTAAAAATACAAAAGTTAGCGTGAGTGGTGGTGCACGCCTGTAGTCCCAGCTACTCAGGAGGCTGAGGCAGGAGAATTGCTTGAACCTGGGAGGCGCAGGCTGCAGTGAGCCAAGACTGTGCCACTGCACTACAGGCTAGGCAACAGAGCAAGACTCTGTCTCCAAAAATAAAAATAAAAATGAAAAAAAAATTATAATTGGACATATACCCCAAAAGCTAGGTTAATGAGTACAAAAACATAATTAGAAAAAGACCTAGTATTTGGTAAGACAACAGGGTGATTAGAGTCAAAAATAAATAAATTGTACATTAAAAATGAAAGTATAATTGGATTGTAACACAAAGAATAAATGCTTGATGGAATGGATACCCAATTTACCTTGATGTAATTATAATGCATTGCATGCTTGTATCAAAATATCTCATGTACCCCGTAAGTATATACACCTCTGTACCCACAAAAATTAAAAATAAATGAAAAAGAAACAGAAAAAGTAAGGCTAGGAAAACTATGAAGAGTGGTAAGAAGATAAAATTTAAATAGTAAAATAATTTTTGAGTTTTAGAATTAGACCAAATGCATCCAGCCCCCCACAGGAGGTGCTGCTCTCAGTGCCTGGAGGGGAGAGATTGAGGAGTGTGTGCATGAGTATCTGTGCTTCCATTTAGTCCCTATCAGCTTTTCTTCCTGGCTTCAATTACTTTGTGCTTAGAATATCTCTTATAAATGTGCATAAATCTTTTATATAATTTTACTAAATGTATATATATATTTTCACATTCAAGTTGTAGGAAAAAAACTTAAATATAGCGTTAAAAATTACCAAAGATAGTATAACTTTGAAAATATTATGATAGTATTTAATTCATAATTTTGCCTCTGTTATACCCTGTCCAAAGATAAGAATTTAGATTGCAGAATAAATATTTAATGTTATCTTTCATTTTGGGATATGGTTGAGCCAATAATAAAATATGGTATCTATTTTTACCCTTTAGAATTCATTTATTTCAAGATACAGTTTTAGGTGTTTAGGTACATTAACTTAGTCATACCATGAAGGAGAGTAAAATCTCATTTATTTGTTCCTTACCAAGCCGTGGTGCTGTGCTGGTGGTTTCATTTGTGCCATGATATTGTTTCTTTTTTTTTAAAATTCAGTTTGCTAATTTACTATTGTGAAAACATATTATAGGAATGCTTAAGATATTATTACTTAAAACTGTTTCATGAACGTCAAATGAATTAAATTCTAGAATTATGACATTTAGAGACATTTATATCTACTTCTACAAGTATGTCATGAGAGATGTCTGTACTGGGAAGTAACATCCAGATTTCAGTTAAAATGCTTTGTATTCTATAGTTTTATTAATTTATATGATTCCTACTAAGATTCTTAAGAGTTTAGTGAGATTGAAAAACACATTTCTACACTAAAATTGAAGATATAATTTCTTTTCAGATTTTTCTCCATACATTGTATTAATTTATACATTTTAAATATATATATTAACATCTACTGTGAATAAGGAAATTTCTATATAAACTTGCACTGGTCTCCTGTTTGAATACAAATTACTTTTGATAAAATACAAAAGCTGTCCATTGGTAGAAACAGCCCTTGCCAATTTGCCTCTAGGAATCATTTCTCTTTCAATGTGATTTATTTGGCACCAAGCAGTTCCAGGAGTGGCACTCTGCTCAGATGTTGATCGGAGATGCAAACTGGAATTTTTGGGCACTCTTTGGATTTCCTATGTACGATATGATGTAGTTGGAGTATCATTAAATGATCATTTGAGCTTTTAAAATAAAATTAAGCTTTTTTCTTAATTCAAGGGGACTTATCAACAAAGAAAATATTCCTTCTGGGTTCAACAACCTTGATGATTGTATTTTGAATACTCAGGAAGTCGAAAAAGTACATGAAAATACTTCTGGTTGTGTTGGAGAAAGGAGCAAGCCTAAACGTCAGAAATCCAGCACTAAACTTTCTGAGCTCCAAGACAATCAATACGGTCTTGTGGTAAGTGACTGTGTCTATAAAATTTTACTTGTTAGGAAATATTACATCTCTTTGCTTTGCTTTGTAAAAAAGTAAAAAGCAATTTTAGTCTTCAGTTTTATAACATTATAGAATATGAGTTCTGAAAGAGACCTTAGAGCTACTAAGTATACATATTTGTATTTCTTTTTAATACAAAAATTAAGGCTGAGAAATATTACATTGTACAAAGGAACAAGAGACAGCATACACTCTGATTTCCATTTATTTTTTTCTCATTGTTTCAAGCATTTTTAAATTTTGTTTTTGAAACAAAATTGTCCATAAAGCATTTTTTCTTCTTGTTCCCAATTCTATTTGTTGTTATCTAAATGATTATGTTTTATAAATTAATGAATGAACTTAAAGCAAGGTGAAATACACAGCGAAAGAGGGTCAGCTATCTTCGTGTTCAGAAATCACTTCATGTTCAGAAATTTAATTTCAAATCTATACTCTTTTAAAGTATTTTCTTCCAAGTTAATCAGGAACAAAAAAAATTAATCCCCTACATAGTTGCCTCAGAGCTGAGTCCTGGATCATTAATTTAGTGCATAGTATAAGTTTTTACAAGTGGTTTAATCAATAGCTAAATACTTATTCAGTGTAGCTATTAACACTCATCATCCTTTTTTCCTTTATGTATTAGTTTCTCTGAAAAATAAGCAACGAAGTCCGTCCCTTTAGTTAAAAAAAAAAAAAAAAAAACCCAAAACCTGGAGATAAGTTTTATAACATGACATGAACTAGGATCCCTAATAAAAATAAGCAATATCCTCTCCTACTGTTAGTGTGCAGATCCTCCGATGTACTTTGTCTCTGACCAGTTTTTAGCTCCATGCTGGGTTTTTCATACATTCAACAAAATTCATGGGCCACCTATTTTCTCATTGTCAATTTCTGCATGTGCTTGGAGAAGATTTCTAATTTTTCCATAAGTAAAATATACATAAGTGCAAATCTAGGGTATTTTTCCCCCATAATGTCTTGATGCATTGTTTCTGGAAGTAAACTGATCAGCTGGAATAGACAGAAGTAATAATAATCATCCACCTCAGACTTATGTCTGGTATGGTTCTCAAAATAAAGAATTTAAAGTTTAGAATCATGACACACTATTTTTTTTAACACTGATGGTTTCATTTTTGTTGCTAAAAGTAAATATTTAAGTTAAATGATATTAAGTTCACTAGCTCTTTATTTGGCCCATGGTTTGCTTATCTGCCAGAGAGATATCTGGTGACCAACAGTCTGAGACTTGGCTTTATAGTGTGAAAAGAAGCTATGAAGCAGGCTTCTCAGTTTGAATCCCTTTTTACATTCATTTAGCCCATTATTTTTTTCCCTCAGGAATAGTGTCTTAAGTTAGTTAGATGGTAATTGTTCATAGAAGTGGAAAAGTACATTTACTCCTTAGAATATTTGTTTACTGACAAAACTATGGACATGGTCTGTGCTGAAAAACATTGGGATGGATGATATTCCATTTGGGGTTTTCTATGTGAAAGAATTTGCTCTTACCCCAATTGCCAGTTTCCGCATTCCAGGATTGTACATGTCACATGTGAGCTCAGTGGACCGTGTCCTTATTGCAATGAATAATTTAAAACTCTGCCAATACAACTTAGAAGAAAGATTTCCTCATCTGTAAACTGAGGGTGTTCTCAAAGATGTTTTCAAACTCTCATATTCCATGAATTTAAAAACCTAATCTTTGCAAGTAACCACAAAGCAAAGAGCCAGGGAACACAACAACGACTAGTATTGAGACTACATCCTGAAAGTTAAGTTGTGTATCTTCACTTCCCCTTTATTTTTAACCTTCTAATTTTACTTTCCCCAACTTTCCTCCAAAACCTTTCCCTAGCGCATTTTAAGTTCTTTACATTCTGAACAAACATTTGTTTCTATAGCTTAAAAAAATTATACATAATTATATGTCTTCTATGTGGCAGGAAATAGTTTAGATCCTGTGGATACAGTAGTGAGAAAAACAGGTAACAATTCCTGCCTTCCTGAAGCTGACATTCCAGTCAGGGAAACAGACAATAACCAAGATAAATAAATAAAGAATAAAGTATATTAGATAGTGGTAACAACTAGAAAGAAAAAATATGCAGGGAATGGGGACAGGAGCTGTGATGGGGCAAGGGATGCAGTTTTAAGTGGAATAATCAGGGGAGACCTCTCCAAGAATTTGACACTTGAGTATAAAGAACTAGAGGAAGTAAGGAAGCAAGCCTTACTGATGTAATGGCAGGTGCAAGGACTCTGAGGCAGTTGTTTCCTGGAATATTCAAGGAACCACAGAGGCACCATTATGGTTGGAAAAGAGTGAACAAAGTGAAAGAGGTAATGGAAAGGCAGGGCAGATTAAATAGGTCCTCGTAGATCATTGTAAGGACCCCTCCTTTATTCTGGGTGACATGAGAAGCCATTGGGTTCTCAGTAGAGCAGTGGTCTGACTTACTTAAATTTGGTGATGCTTTGTTTAAAATAGACAGTAAGCAGGCAGGGGCAGAAGCGGAGAGACCAGTTAGGAAGCATTACAGTCATCTGGGTTTGAGATGATGATGGCTTGAACTGAGGTGTTACAAAAGCCAGCCATATGGACTCTCGGGCTGTACACTGCACTGGTCCAGGGAACACTGTTCCCATCAACTAAAACATGAATGGTTTCCCCTGGAGTTGTACACTGCAGTGGTCATGAGGTGGGGGTAAGAAAGTGGATGAATTTGAAGACAGAATTGACAAGATCACCTGATAGAGTCAATGTGGGATATGAAAGCAAGAGAGGAGTCAAAGACGATTCCAAGATTTTTGGCCTGAGCAGCCGGGAGATTGGTGTTGCCAATTTACTCAGATGAGGAAGACAGAAGTTTTGGGAATCATATCCTAAGTTCAGTTTCTAACATGGAAGGATTGAGCTGCCCATTAGACATCTAAGAGGAGAGAGATTAGAGAGGCAGCTGGGCTTGTGGGAGAATGTCCTCCTTAGAGATACAAATGTGGGAGTCATGAGCATTATAAATGATTTAAAGCCAGTACACTGGCTGAGATAACCAAGGGAGTGAATATGGATAGAAAAAGCCTTCACAAAAGGCCTTGACACAGAGAATGGGGAGATGAGAAACCAGCAGAGGAAACAAGAAGCAGCAGCCAGAAAAGTCAAAGAAAAATGAGGCAAGTTTGGTGTCTTAGAAGCCAAGTAACCAAGGGTCTCAAAGAGGAAGGAGAATCAGATGAAGACTGAGAGTTCTACCATTGAAATTAGCAAAATGTACCTCCCTGGTGATTTTAGTAAGAATGGTATTGGTAGAATGATGGCAGCAAGAGCCATTTTCAAGAGAAGATGGTAGGAGAGTAATTGAAGACAGTGAATGATGGCCTCATGGTGATCTTGCTGGCCCAAGCACAGATAAAGAGGAGAATATGGTGTAAACCTGGAAAAGCATCTTACAGATTTGGTGTCTTTACAGTGAGAACTATCTGGCTCCTTTCTCCCTCTGTCCTTTTGCATCTTGAGGATGTCATGACCAGCTGAGACTGAGATGATAATTCAGAGCTCAGAAATCAGGGGCAGTGAGGTACCAGTCTGGGTATCAGACTGCACTGCCTTATCTTTAATTATTGCCACAATCCCAACCTTTCCCTTTCCTTAAACCTCAGGCTCACACCTGTGCCCTTTCTTCTCTCTCAGAGGAAAACCTTACCCCCTCTTTGACTTTGAAGAGCTGAGATAACCCCCTTCTGTTTCTACTTCCCTCACTTCGCTTCAAAATTCTCTAGCTCTCTGCCTGTTCCATTTGCTTACTTGCTCAAATGACAAAGTAAGTTCCCTAAATTCTAAGGCTAACCTCTAAGGTGAAAAGTATCTTTAGATTTTCTGTTTTCTACATCCATCTCCCAGCCCCCTTGACATGTGCATATAAACGTATTTACACATAGACAGTTCTCTATTAGCTCATTTCCATTGGCCTAGAAAAAAAGTCTCTTTATCCTCTCTAGGGCATGCATTTTATTCAATAATCCTACTTCTGCTACTCTGTTCTAGGTGCATAATTTTTTTTTTAAGATGGAGTCTCGCTCTGTTGCCAGGCTGGAGTGCAGTGGCGCAATCCCACCCACTGCAGCCTCTGCCTACCAGATTCAAGCAATTCTCCTGCCTCAGCCTCCTGAGTAGCTGGGATTACAGGCACATACCACTATGCAAAGCTAATTTTTGTATTTTAGTAGAGATGGGGTTTCACCATGTTGCTGAGGCTGCTCCCAAACTCCTGACCTCAAGTAATCCACCCACCTTGGCTTCCCAAAGTGCTGGGATTACAGGTATGAGCCACCATACCCAGCCACTAGGTTCATAATCTTAAATATAAAAAAAATACAATGTATTAATTTGTTCACTGCAAGTCTATTTATAATTGTGGAGAATTAGAACATTTAAATGTTCAGAAATAGACGACCAGATAAGTAACATTTGTATGTTAACTCAATAAAATATTCTGCAATGATTCAAAATTCTAGTTATGAAATTATATAATAAAATAGAAAATATTTGACAAGTTATATTTTAAGTGGTTTGCATATATTCTCAATTTTAATCCTCTGCATAATCCATAGGTAGATATTATTATTCCCATTCTAATCATGAGGAAAATTAAGCACAGGAGATTAAGCAACTAAGTCACATGTAAGTGGTGGAGCTGGGATTCCACTGTACCGCCCTACAGTATAAAAATAGGTTATGAAGCAATATCTGCAGTGCATGCACATATATGTATGAAATATTCATTCCTCATTCCTAGGAAAAAGGACTGAAAGGATATATGGCTAAAAGTGATTGTGTGATTACATTATAGTGGTGGCAGAAGTATTTCCTGTAATTGTTTCTCTTCTCTCCAGATATGTTCTGTGTGATTATATGAATTTTAGATTATGACATTTAATATATGAAAAATAAAAACAAAGTCTGTAGGTCTCTC